TGCTCTAAGTCCGAAATAAACAACACAAATAAATAGGGACTCAACACTTCACCCTGCAGCACACCCCTTGACACTCTTACATAATCTGTACAGCCGTCCTTAGTTTTAATACGGGCAGATGCATAGGAGTAAAACTTTTAATTACATTTATATATCTGGTACTTAATCCTAATTTATGTAACTTATACCAAAGAAGTTGGTGGTTTATGGATGGAAAGTCACCCTTAAAGTTCACAAATATGGCATAAGCGGCAGAATTATCTTTGCTTAAATGAAATTGTATAGTAGCATTTAGGATGAAGAGATTGTCTAGGCAACTTCTGCCTCTTCTAAAACCTGACTGAGATTCGGGAATTAAGTTGAGATCAAAGGCCCAAGCCACAATCCGATTACACAAAATCTGAGTAAAAATCTTTGCTATGATATTAACTAGTGTAATCGGTATGTAGCTGCCTGGATCCTCCATCCAACATTTTCTCTTATACATAGATGATAGAAGTTGACATTTTTCCCCACTCCTTAGGTACTGTTTCGGAAGTAAAGACTTTATTTAATAGATTTAAGATAAAAAGATGCCAGTTTTGCGGAAGGTGTTTAAAAAAAGAATAGCCAATTCCGTCAACCCCGAGAACCCTTACATCCCTACATCGGGCAAGACTCAACAATAACACAGACACACAAAAAAATAAAAATGTCAAAACCCAGAGGTTACACCCCCTATCCACATGTTTTTGGGGTCGCTGAAACCGAATATGACCATGAAAAATTTTTTCATCGGCCATTTTCCCGCTACCACCCCCTTACACCACCATTTTGAGATGTCTTCGAACACATTGTCGCAATAATTACGAAAGTTATGTTCATTAGAAGTCAGCGCGACGAGAGCTGCTGGAAGCCGTTTGGCGCCTTCTTAACGACTTTCCATTTTCGAATGGTCTAGGGGGCACTTTCATGATGTACGAAGGGTCCTATTCATTGTATCCCTTCCAATGTAATAGAATCTCGTTTCTAAAGGTATTTTGCACCTTAGGAAACCTCATTCTTTGGCTCCGAGGTACAGAGTAAAGATTGTTGAGTTTTATACATAAATTTTAATATTAAATAAAAATGTTAAAAACTGTACCGAGGTAGAAAGTATTAAAGTAGAAGTATTAAATTTAAAAATTGGACCTAATCCACAGCGAATGTGCGAAGAAGTTGACCAACGCCGAGTATCCATCGCCAACCTGAGAACACAGGAGAAAGGAAACAAAGGAGGCCAGAAAATTAAAAAGAGCTTAACAAAAGGAATCGGACGACATTCTTTCCATTCTAGGAGAAGAGTATTATGGCTCAGGAATAAAATTGCTGATTAATTAGTAAGTTGACAAAATTTCAAGTTATAGTACACTAACGTACATTTTTTCTTCTTTTGCGTTTTTCTCGAAACCACATTTTTCGAGGCGGTGTACATGATAACTCAAAAACTATTCAACCGATTGACCGATTTTATTAAAATACATCTTCCTAAATAGATTTTCCACAGAGTAACGTGGGATTTTTTCGATTGAATAATTTAAAAAATTTGTATCCAATTTTTTATACGGTATTTTTACACTACCGTCGGGAATTATCGGTACGGCTGCACGCGCAGGGCCCAAAAACATACCAATCTTCAAATCACGATTTCTTTGTAAATACAAATGTCAGAGAATTAACAAATATACCATTCGAAAGATTATTAAATTCTACGATTAATGATATGCAACTGAAAATTTTAATAATTTATACAAAGCTTGCAGCAATCTACAAATTTGACAAAAAAAATTTTAAAATAAAATTTTTTTAGAAATTATTTCAATCCCTGCACATTTTTTAAAAATTGTAGGAAAATTTTGAAACTTATATAGGTGTAATCATTCAAGTCTCATCTTTAATTTAAGACCAAGAGAGTTAAAAAATCTTATTCGATTCGTGAGATATCATTATATACGTCCGAGCATGTTTTTTGACAAATGCATTGAATTAGTCGATTTTGAACGTTTTTTGGCTGAAAATGCTCGGCCGTTTATAATGATATCTCTCGAACCGAATAAGATTTTTTTACTCTTTTGGTCTTAAATTAAAGATGAGATTTCAATGATTACACTTATATAAGTTTCAAATTTTTCCTACAGTTTTTAAAAAATGTGCAGGGGTTGAAATAATTTCCAAAAAAATTTTATTTTAAAAATTTTTTTGTCAAATTTGTAGATTGCTGCAAGCTTTGTATAAATTATTAAAATTTTCAGTTACATATCATTAATCGTAGAATTTAATAATCTTTCGAATGGTATATTTGTTAATTTTCTGACATTTGTATTTACAAAGAAATCGTGATTTGAAGATTGGTATGTTTTTGGGGCCTGCGCGTGCAGCCGTACCGATAATTCCCGACGGTAGTGTAGCCTAAAACATGAAGTCAATTTTTGAAGTGCTTCCATTTGCGTAAAAAAATTTTTTTTTAAAACGGCTTCGTCACTCTGTTTAAAATTTATCACTTTTTAAGAAAAATATTTGTTTACTTGTTTCAGACAAAAATTGATATGCTAATCATGTAAACATCAAGGAGTGCTCCGGAAAAACTGATCCACGCCAATGCTTATATCTCCGCCATTTTTAATTAAAAACAACTTTTTTTTAATATTTATAAAGCTTAAGATATGTATTAAATTAGCAATAAATGTAAAAAATTCCTACCTTAAATAGTTTCGTCGAAAAAATTCCTAGAAATCATCCGATTTTCATGCGCTCAGGGTGGCGTAACCCCTTAAGGGTAACGAAGAAACCAAGAAAATCAGCATCTGGCGAGATGTATATCAGCCCCAGAATAAAACTCACTTGACCAGAGATTACCTTTGCAAAAATCCAATTAGAGTTAATCACTAAATTGACTACCTCATAAAATTTGGGATTTGGCCCCTTGCTCTTCCACGATCAAACACTCTCTTAGCTGGAGAAACGATTACAGTGAATTGTGGGTATTGATTAAAGTTCCAGTTCGGCTTGACTGACCACGTTTCACATACACAAAGAGTGTCATTAAGTTTAATTTCACTGTCCACATCGGGCAAATTGACACTTCCATGTACATTCCAGAAAATTATTTTGGGCCTTACTAGGGAATCATCAGGAAAAGAGGAGTCTAAAATCCGCGGATTGTCAAAAGACAATTGTTGTTATTCTTCTTCCATTGGGTCCAGGTCAATTTCATTCGAATATGATTCAGGGACATGTATACCGGGATCTCCTGTAACTTGCTTGATGAGAAAGCTATCTAGGGGTTTTTGGCGTTTATAGTCAGTAGAAGAGACTTTTGGCTTGCGACTTCTTTTCAAGCCATCCCTCACAGCACCGGGATATTCAGGATATCCCAGAGACGTCCTGGGGATATCGATTTGTTTTCGGAAGTTTGGATATCTCTGGGATATCCTAGGGACGTCCATGGATATCCAGAGGATAATCCAGGGATATCCAAACTTCCGAAAACAAATCGATATCCCCAGGACGTCTCTGGGATATCCTGAATATCCCGGTGCTGTGAGGGATTAGTTGACTTTATTGCTGATTTAGAGGGTGTAGTGATGTTCTCAATAGTCTCCGGTTTTAAAGTAGCACAAGAATCAGTGCAGCCAGGGTTTAGGGCTGAAATAGGAGTGGTGATATTCTCTGAAATGACTGCATGTCCATTAACAACAATTTTGTCCGCTCTAAAAACTGCATCCTGTCCTGATTCTCTCAGTTGGCGTACTTTAGTAAGCAGCACACGACGTCTCTCTCGTTCCTCCTTAGAACGGTCATTGGAAATAAAAAAAATTGTAATTCTTAAACTCCTTGCAATTTTATTAATTGCCAAAAATCAGTTTATCAAAACGACAAATTATCCATTGAATTTTCACAGGGAAAAAAAGTAAATTATAAAACACTTGAATATGCACAGAGAATAAGAAACAAGTGAGAGCGAAGAATGGGGGAAAAGTCACTTGATTTGTCAAAAAACACAAATAATCCAAACAGGTCCAAAGAACAATGGTCTACAGATCACATTTAACCCTCGGAGAACACACCTCTTTTTAGACTATTTTTCAAAGCTCAACCAATTTGAAACTGATCATCTAATCAAGCTAAAGAATTTTTTTAATTATAGATTAAACTCTGTAGAATAAGTCTGTATACTTGAAAGTCCTTATTAAAAATATTAAAAAAAGATAAAAAGCTTTACGTAAAAAAGCGTAGGGTCAAAAAGACCCCATGTGTTCTCCGAAGGTTAACACAATTAAACGAATCGTTATAAAATTGACAATCACGGAAACAATAACCGTGAAATACACAATAATAATCATTGAGTTAATAAAATAAAATAACAAAAAGCCCACTGAAATTCGACTGTACTCGATAAAAGCTCAAACGAGACTCCTTTAAGAACATTATATCTACCTTACAAAAGCATTTATTTGCAAAAGGTAGAAATTTTTATCATTTAATAGTTTTTTGTAAAGATTTTTCACTTTAGGTATGAAATAGGGGTGATATATTTTTATTGGGATGTTTCATGCTTGAATTATGGGATTTATGTTTGCAAATAATACATACAAATAATAATTTTTTAACATTAGATTATTCGCTTAATTAATTTTTTATGAATGGCTCTGTTTAGATACATGATCAAAGAAAGGGATGATTTCACCCCTTTCTTCACATGTAAAGTGTGAATGAGTACGTATTTCTTGTTCCTTGGGACGTAATGAGAGAAGTGATATGCGAATTTTAGGTTTCCTGTAGGATCTAAAAATCGACTATTTTTAACATTGTCCTTTGCCCTTCCCAATGTTGAACGTCCGATCGCTAACTAGGGCTTCTTCATCGTCCGTGCGGTTTATATTGTCAAACAGTTTAATTTTCGCGACGCGTCAAAAGTACGGTTTTACTGATTATTTTAATTTGTTATTTTATTTTGTTATTTTAATATAAATAAATCTTACTAAAGGCTCGTCAGCAATCACTACAGATGTAGGTATTCGTTGTGTTCCTATTTTGTTATTAAATCCTAAGTTTCCAATCAATTTTGGTGAATACTGCACTTTTGGAACTAACATGAAAAGAAATTAAATACAATTATTCCAAATTTTACAAAAATTGCATCAGTCAAATTTCACTGATTCAGTTTTAGCGAGTGTGTAGAATAATGTTTGGAAATGCTGCATTTGAAGTTTGTAGAAAACTTCTAAGCTAAAAATCCCTGCACATGATCCTTTGAAGTTCATATGCAATTTCCTTTAGGAATCTTTGACAAAAACCTGTGCAGGTTCGTGTCAGGTACCCCTGCAGGAAATGAAAGGATCCTGTACAATTTCTAGTGTAGGAACATCAGCTATCAATGTTACTTTGCAAGTATCAATACATACGAACATCTATAAGAATATTTCATGCATGGGTTCATATAAAAGAAACATAACCGATGGTAAATTACGGTGGTAAGACTCCGTGACTTGCGATCATTGAGGTTAAGCAACGTCCAGTGCGGTTAGTACTTGGATGGGTGACGGCGCTTCGACTCTCGCTATAGCCCGGTGTTTTCTCCCTACAGTAGAATCTCCCATAAGTTAACTTCCCATATGTTAATTTTCCCTTATCTGTACCCCTTTCACCTAAAATAATAAACATGCGCATAGTGGTGTCAAGATGGCTGACACATCATAGGAATAGGTCACTGCGCACTAATTTCTCTTTACACGGCAAATCTCTCTTATGTAACCCCCCACCAAAATTAACTTATGGGAGATTCGACTGTGGTTTCGTAATTTATCAAGCGGGCGGTTTTAGTTCGAGGTATAATGATGTGTACTGTCGATTATTGTCCGGTACATAACATTAGATTAGAACTCGGCTGTTGATAAACGCCGGTTGTACTCAGCACCCATTAGACGGGTGGTCCAGGCAAATGCCAGTGCTCCTAATTTCAAGACGTTCTGTAGACGTAAAATTTAGAATAAGGATGTATTGTAAGAAATATTGTAAAGAAAATAATATGTAGAAACACTTGTATAGCCAAGATTATGGCCTTAAAACAGGTCAGGGTGGCCACTATTTTCATAAAAAAAATTCACGGTCATAAAGAATAACTCTGAAAATAAATTGTTCCATAAAAGATTAAAAGAATTCACTGACTTTTAGATAAAACTTTGACTTTTTCCAAAACCCTAAAAATATTTTAATTTACTCAAAAAATAATTGAAACTCCAAATTATTATTATCACTCTATTATTTGATCAATACACAAGACAATAAAATTAATTTGAAAAAAAATTAAGTTTTCCAATACCTAAAAGTTTAAAAATTCTAGAGATATGCCCATATACTTTTATGAGCAGACGAATAAAATAAGACAAAATATAAATCTATGACTATTATTAATGTTAACTTAAGATGTTCGAATATCAAATTAAAATTTTAAATTTAAATTTTATGAGCAGACGAATAAAATAAGACAAAAAATAAATCTAAGACTATTATTTATTAATGTTAACTTTAAGATGTTCGAATATTAAATTAAAATATATAAGAATTAATATAGAAATACATACCATTTATTACTAGGTAGAAATAAAATATTATAAAAAATACTAAAACTGCAAAAAAATATCCCACTTTCCATCGAATCATTCTACCAGATTAATTATATTTTGTAAAGTAGAATAAAATTTATCGATAATATCTAGAACAAAAATAGTAATTTTAGAGTTATTTATAAATTGCATAAAAGAATATAAATATATTCTTTTAAAAGCGGTTTGATTAATAAAGGCTCAGGCGCAGCTCGGCTGTCAGCCTGTAGGTTTTTTTAGTTATACATTATTTACATTATATGTATACATTCTACTCAAATTAACAAGTATTTTATAAAAGAACCAAAAGTGCACCCAGCTGGGTTTTCTTTATGTAGAATAAAATTTTTACTTAAAAAAAATAAAAAGGTCTAGTTGTTTTCGCTCTTCCAGATAACATTTTTTTGGTATAGGTTAGGTTAAATCACGTGATAGGTTCAGGTGCGTAATTCGGAAATTTATGCACTCTTATGATACATATAATTTTGACTTTACCCAAGTACGAAATGCCAAGACTGCAAAAACGGCCCATCATTGGTGCAGTAATGTCTGCCGAGAATTGGCAGTAGTTACTGGGCCATTATTGGTGTCCAAAACGTCCCATTACTGGGCCAACGATGGCGCCGATGGTCACAATTTCAAATTTTTTAAGACTGGGCCAGCTCTCGGCCCAATAATGGCACATTCACGGCAAAGTTGATCAATCTTTAATGGCAAAATTCAATTGCCAGTGATGTGACGACGATCGGCCCATTAATGGCTCATTATTGGCACTTTAATGGGAAAAAATTTGTATCGTTCATGGCAAATTATAATTACCAGTATTGGGGAGTAGCTTGGCTCAATAACGGCACAATATTGGCAAAGTTGATCAATCTTTAACCACTTGAGCGGCAGTGCGTCAGAATTGGCGTCAGCGTGCAAGTGACAGAAGCGGCAAAAATGCGTAAAAGGCGTCAAAATTTGACTACTATTTTCTCATTCTGTAAGGAGATTTATAATATCACAACAAAGTATTTTTCTTTTTTAAAGTAAATGAGCAGATCTTTAAACAAAAAAATGCTTTATTAAATATTTCGATTTCGTGAAGAAAAATTGGACTTTTTGTGGTAGAAATTGAAACGCCACTAATATCAAACTATTAAATATTGTTAGCTTTGATCCTTGAAAACTTATTTAAATATTTTAAAAAACATTTTTTTTGCTTACAGGTCTGTTCTTTCACTTTAAGAAAGAAAAATACTTTGTTGTGATATTATAAATCTCCTTACAGAATGAAAAAATAGTAGTCAAATTTTGACGCCTTTTTCGCATTTTTGCCGCTTCTGTCACTTGCACGCTGACGCCAATTCTGACGCCCTGCCGCTCAAGTGGTTAATTGCATGCTTTAGTGGCACTTTAATGGCAAACATTTTGTATCTTTGATGGCAAATTATAATTGCCAGTATTGGGGCGTAGCTTGGCCCAATAACGGCACATTCACGGCAAAGTTGATCAATCTTTAATGGCAAAAGATTTCCTTTATTATCTAAAAATTAAGTCAATTTCACTTTCAATTAATATTTGCAATTGACAAATAGAATTTATAAACATTTTTTTCCTTTATTTTTTTAAAATCTTTGAATTTTTCTTAAAGCAATTGTAATTAAGAAATAGAAATGATGCAAATTATTTCCTTAAGAAAATTTATTGAATAAATGAATGTTTTTTAAAATTTAATTCTCATAATTCAATTTTAAGAAACATTTAGTTATTCAATAAATTATTTATTTTTGCATTTAAATAATTAAATTCTCGTAGAATTTTCTAGTAAAAATTTATTTCAAAATGGATTCTAGTCAAATTTTTAGATAATAATTAAATATTAAAAATATACCATGAATTTTGATATTAAAATTTTTTTAAATTCAATTGCCAATGATGTGACGAAGATTGGCCCATTAAAGGCACATTAATGGCACTTTAATGGCAAAAATTTTGTATCTTTGATGGCAAAATATAATTGACAGAATTGGGGCGTTGCTTGGCCCAATAATGGCACATTCATAGCAAAGTTGATCAATCTTTAATGACAAAATTCAATTGCCAGTGATGTGACGAAGATCGGTCCATTAATGGCTCTTTAGTGGCACTTTAATGGCAAACATTTTGTATCTTTGATGGCAAATTATAATTGCCAGTATTGGGGCGTAGCTTGGCCCAATAACGGCACATTAATGTCTATCATTTTGTATCTATGATGGCAAATTATAATTGCCAATATTGGGACGTAGCTCGACCCAATAATGGCACAGTATCGGCCAGTGTAGTGTAGCTTATAAAAACCCTTTTGCTTCCTCGACTTCAAGTCAAAGTAGCAGAGTGGTCAGAGTGTTAGGCTGTGGTGCGTCAGGTTCAGGTATCGATCCCCGCGAGAGGTAAGAATTTTTCAAATATTTGTAAGTTTGCGTTTAATTTAGGGAAATAAGCCGTATAAATGTTATAAATTAATTAGTTAATTGAATAAAAAAAAATTTATTTTTATTTTTTTCTAATTTTGTCAACACTGGGGGAGTAATGGCAGCCAATATTGGGCCATTAATGGCTGCCAATAATGGGCCACTAATGTCTGCCGAGATCTGGCGGCCAATATTGGGCCATTAATGTCTGCCGAGATCTGGCTGCCGACGTCCAACCGCTGTTAACACCACAAGAGTCGGCGCAAAGTCGGGCCAATATTGTCTGCCAAGTATCGATGCCAGCTTTGCCAATACTGGGCCAGTGTTGGGCCGCGTTGGTTTTCGCACTTGGGTATTGTTTTTAATTATTAACAATTAATAACTTTTATCTTTTTTTTTACTATTTTGTTAAAAGTAAATGTATGTAATAAAGTTATCATAGATTTTAAAACGAATTTATAAATAATGTTTAAGTAACAAATTTCCTAAGGGCATAGAGTTTTACATTCAGTCCTGACAGTATAGTTGCGTGGTGGGGCTTTCATTTTACCCAACTTTTGGACAAACTGACACACGCAAGTAAATATGTACCAAAGTACAGTATAAAGTATTACAAAAAGTAAATCAGTTTATGATCAAATGCATACCAAAGTTTAATCTAACGTCTGTTTTAATCTTTAAATTACTTTTTGAACATTCTTTGGAAAATGCATTTTAATAACCATACAAGAGAATTTTAAACATTATTAAAATGTCTATGTGTAGCCATTTTAACCAACTTTTGACTAAACTTTAAAAAAATATTTTCTCAGTGTAAGGATCCTAGAATATTGCTGGATAGAAAATAAATGTACTGCGCAGGATATTAATAATTGAATACACCTGCAGGCTGGCAGCCGAGCTGCGTCTGAGCCTTAATTAATCAAACCGCTTTTAATTGATTCGCGGTAAAAATTTTGCGGATAAACACATGTACACGATTTTATTAATTGTACTATTGGATTTCTAAAGAGTAAAAAAAGACCTTTAAGAGAAATGAAAGAGAAATTGAGGGTTCACGTGCAATAAGGGGATACGCATGGAAGTGGAAGTTTCCGCGTATAGCGATTCTGCGGCTGCGCGAGAGGACTGCGAATAGCCTGCGCATCTCCTTATTGCACGTAAACCCTCAATTTCTAACAAAAATTCGCTCGCGACAGTCACTCTAAAAAATAAATTTTAATAAAATGCTATATTATGGTGCAGTTACTCCCTAGTAGAAATTTGTCCTAGTTATAACTAGTCCAGTCGTGCTTAAAATTGTCTAGTTACTTTACTAGCCGACTGGCTAATAACTGGAACGGAGTGTCACACTTTTTTCATCAAGTTATTATATCTAGCCCAACTTTATAAATTCTGGTCAACGGTTCTGTAGAAAAACTAGACAAATTAATTCTTTTAAAATACTTAAAATTTGATTAATATTAAAATTTACTGTAGTGAACACATTTATTTCATGCAATTAATATAAAATTTCTATTTAGCACCAAAAAAATTCAACCGGCTATTTTTTCTTTTATCGTAGCAGCTCAAGAATACTGAAGACAGCTTCAAATTGCTCTAAAGGATGGAAATGGAGGAAATATTAATGAAGAAAGTCACTTATATGGTGCAGGCATCATAGATTAACAGTGGTTTCATTTTTCATGTTTTTACATTACAAAAGTTTAAATGCGATTTTCTCGAAATGACATTTTTCAAAACGGTGGGCAGTCTAGCTAGAACAGTTTTGATCGGATTGACTTCGGCCAAAATTTTTCTTGTTCGTCATTTACTAACGCTTTCGAGTACGTAGCGGATTTTTTTTGTTTTTTTTTGGCAATAAATATTTTGAAAAAATTTCGCCCTAAAAATCGACTTTTTTCTTCAAACAGCTGCCAAATACACAAAAATTAATATTTACTAATATTTTATTTTATTTATTAATATTTACTCGAAAGATAAATCTATCACAGATTCAAAAAAACTTTGAATTTTTTTTTACATTAAACGGTCTAACCAGAATCTTGCCCACCGATTTGCCCTGCAGAGAAAGGAGACAAACTTCGGCGCCCTCTATAGCCAACAAATTGAAACTTTTTTTAAGTATAAATATATTTTCGTAAACTCAAAAAGTTAACAAATAAATTCCTCGAAACCAAATTTTATTTACTTCATTCCTGTGTCTTAACAAAATTCATGAAAAACAGGTTCAAAAGACACCTCAAAGGTATCACTCCCCCTTGAAAAAGTTAACAACAGAAATCACAAAACTCATTACGTCGCATGATGAACTAAGAAAAGAAGTGCACGATATTCACAAAGATACGAAGGAAGCGCTAAACAAATGTGAATACTTGGAATTAAATTTGAATACCCTGGAAGGAGGTCTCTCCGTCATCTCCAAGAAAATGAGGGAAAATAACATTATTTTATATAGGGTACATGTGGGTATTATCGAGGAATTTTGTATACGTCCGTCATACATCCAAGTGGTTTAAAAATTATAAATAAATGTATATGGCTTTGTTTTTTTAAATGAATATTTAAGCTTTCTTTTCTTTAAAAAAAAATTGCCAATGTTATAGAAAATAGTTTTAATCGTTAAATGAATGATTAAATAGAAGACTCCTTTGCTTGTAATTTCGCGGGAC